GGTACCCTTTGATAACAATAATTAATTATAATATTTAACATCGATCAAACGAAAGCTGACCTGAACGAGACTAAAAGTTAATTGAAATAATTTCAATTGACTCTTTGGCAAAAGGACACAGCTTCGTTGGCAACATCATACAAGAGTTAATTACATTAATATTATAATAAATTTGTTTTTCGAAAATCATACAAATTATAAAAAAAAAATTTTAAAAAATGTATTTCTTTCTCTGCTCTACTCTAAAGGATTATTGCAGTTTTGCAATAGTTTATATCTGATTGTAGTAATTTGAGTTTTAAAAAATTAAACACAGTAGAGACTTGCACTTTACTATCCTGTAATATTTCTATCCGTTTTTTTTTTTATTTGCTTATAAACTATATTTATATTTCTGTATACTATTTCAATTGATTTAGTCGAAAAAAATACTATTATAGCGTGTAAGGAAATTAACCACAAGATTTATCTCCGCTTATTTCCAAAGGCTTTGAAATATTTTGCTGCCTCTTCTCAAAAGCACTACTAACTCCGGCCTAACTAATAACTGCCTCAGTGATAATATATCACCATGTGATATAAAAATTCAATTAAAAATGAGAGGTTACACTATGTTATAGAAATAGAAAATCATCTTTATTATGGGACTAGGTCCCATAATAATAACAGTATTGTTCATATAAATTAACGATAAATCTGACCAAAAGACCCATTACAATAACTAAAATACGAGTAATAAAATAAGTCTAATAACTCTAAGGATATATTAACGACAGTTGAGTAATATGGTTGCAATAATACACTATTGAAACTAAAACAATAACATAATAATCACTGAATGGAATTATAAAGGAACTATAAATAAATTGTATAACCAAAGTATTGTAGTGATGAAATATAAAAATTAAAAAAAAAACTGTTGATATATAAAAAATAAATTGTAAAAAAGATTATTTACTTACGTTCCATAAGATGTTTCAGTGAATCACACAAAGATTAGGGAAGAAAATAATAAGATAAAGTATATGTATAGAGTTATATAGAGTTAAGTGTACTGAATATTTGCACCACTTGTAACAATACTCATATATCAAAATAATGTTAATATTATATAAGAGAACATTTCTTTTGTAAAGCCGAGCTCTAAAAAATGTAAGTGTAAATAATAATTGTTGTACAGTCACATTAATATTGTTAAAATAAATATGTTTATCAAGTGAATTTGCGTTACCTATTTAAGTTATAATAATAGATAGGTGATGCATATTTCAATTTTTTACAGTATTTTGTTTAGGTATTGATAGATTATTCATCACAAATTATAAATAATTTATATTACTATTATTAAACTAGTTTAGTATAATTATAAATTAAATTCAAAGTTTCACTAATTTTATTTAAATATTTAGGAAAAAAAATTGTATCGCTTGATACAATTATATTATAATGATATGATTGTCTGTTTCAAATATAGTAATGATGTATTAAACAAAAATATAGTAATTACAACATATATTATTATAATGAAAACGAGAAATTCTAGTATAAATTTACCGATGATTGTTAGGGTTATACCCAAAGTTATAATTTTATTTTAAGAGTTAGGAAAAAATATTTGAATAAAACATCACTAGTTGCTATATTAAAATAATATGATTGTCTATTTAAAATATAGCAGTGGTATATGAAAAAAAAAAAAAAAAGAAAGTCAGTAAACAGTGATGGAAACATATTATAATAATATGAGAACTGCAGAAACAAATTTACCTAAGGATTCTGTGTTGATAAAAAATATTAATGATAATAGTAACAATAATAATTAAATTAATACCAATTTCGTTTTCTACAGATGCGAATAAAAAAAATTAAAAAAACTTATGCATAGTATAATTATCAATCTATATTTTTTTTCGATTTAGTTGGTATAATGTTTCTAAATAAACGTATAAATAATAAATTATGATAAATGACAATTAGTTGAAAATTAATGATTTCCATAAAACCACACTGTAAGCAAATAATATTAATCAATTAAAAATTAAACCATGTTTGATAAAAAAAAATAAAACTATAAAATAAACTAGAGACTTCTCTCGAGTTAATAGACAAAATGTTAAAATATTCAGAATAAATTTAAACTTCATTGAGAAATTCTTATAAAATGTTACAGTTTAAAATGTATTTATGAATAATTAAAAAATAATAAATATTATTATTAGGTCAGCTCAACTTCTTTTTCCTGGAAAAGGAAAGAATAAGACGAAATATTAGGTTGATATTACCGTCAACGGGAGGGTACTTGTACCAAATAAAAGTCAATTTGTTCAAGGGTTGGCCTCATTTTCTACCCACGTGGCTACTTATCCTTACTTATTGACCTTCACATAATGGAAATACCTTGTCGCTATATTATAGACAAATCTAACTACTTATTTATAATTATTTATCTAACTATATCAAAATTTAATTTATTTTTTTATTTGTTATTAATTATTCATATCTATTTTTATCTTTTCTCGTTTATGTATGATATATGAATTGATATATTCAGTACTAATGAATATTTCAAACATGCTAATTGATTGTATTAGACGCTCTTCTCTTTCTACGTTTGAAAAAGAAAAAGGAACATCTTAATACGATAATCCAATGATTTAAAAAATTTAAAAACGTAAACAATTCTAAGGAATTTCGGCACTTGATTATTCATTTTAAGCGAAGAAATTTTGCTTTTGGTAATATCGATCTCCACAAATTAGGTTCCCATTTTCAAAACTTACTTAACTCTCTTGGTAATGGTGGACTTGTATTATATGCTGAGCCATATGTTGATTCGACTTCTCTAAACCTCCCTTTTGATTTAAGTGAATTGCAAGTTGCGATTAGTAATTTAAAGAACACCAAGGCGCCAGACATTGATAGAATATCATATGAGTATTACAAACACGTACCTGTTGTATTTTTTTTAATATTATTTCTTTATGACATTTACAACTGTATTACATAAATATAACAAGTAAATTTGGACATAATTGATATAATGACATGAATACACTTGCTGAGTAACTACCCAACGGTAGCACTCTAATGACAGTCACTGAATAGAAATGTGATGGATGACATGTGGGTGACTCAGAAACAAGGTGAACATGACAATAATAAGGAATTTTATTATGAGTAGACGCTTGCAATTCGCATAAGTGAAAATGACAGACTTGAAAATGGCTCGACGAGCCGAAACGTCGTCATTTTGATGAGTAGTCATTAAGTGACAACAAAATTTTTTTAAATTGGTGTAAATATGGCTAATAATAAATTATATTGAATATAAATATTTCGGTGTAACATGACATGCTAAGCTCCAGTCTATCATTTACTTACCATTTGGAAGATCGTATGTCGTCTGCTAAAATGGGACATAATAGGAATCGGTCAAGTTTTATTGCTCAAGATTTAATCCCACAATTCGCCAAAAAATAAATATTTGATGCGACATTGCGCTCCATAGTATACTAGGCGGCTCAAGTCTAAGGTTTTAAGGGATATGACTAATTGGAAAAGTTGCAGAGATTCTTCATTAAGACATTGTTTTCGTTGCCTCCAACGACAACAAATAATATGATTTACTTAGAAACAGCCACAAACTATTCATTCACTTTATTATAGTTGCATTTTAAGTATTGTCTTAAGTTACTGATCCTGCCTGAAAGTCATCTCTCCAGAGTTATCGCCATTGAATGACTAAACGTAATATCTTCTAGTTTAAAAATTGGTGCAATTTGGCGGAAAGATACTCTTACAGTTCGACAAGTATTCGGAATGCTTTTCGTTATGGAAAGACCAGTTGGCAACAATACAGTCTGCAATCACTCAGCAACATTGCGAGAAGTGTAAATTAGCGGCACTGAATTCGGATAGATTTCTATTGTATAGGGAATTGAGTCATGACCTTAAGATTTTGAAATTCGTGGATGGCAGCTGTAGTTAAAAAAGTTTTTTGGTTGTTTAAGATCAGGTGTAAACTCCGTTATTTGAATTACATTCCATAGCTTCGTGGGGAATATACGGATTGTCCACTCTGTAACCTACTAGTAAAAGAGGATCTGTCACATCTTTTGGGCTGAGTGTTGAATGGTCAAATTCGTATCGAATTTCTTGGAACTATCCCGGCTCGAAATTATATCCTAATTTCCGTTCTAAATGCCCGCCCTGTGAACGAATATCGTAAAATTGTCGGTTTTGCTCGACATACGTGGATACATCGTTTTAATTTGCTACACCCAGCATAAAAATAATCCGTGTAATTTATTATAGGTAAATTTTATTCATGTAATTGTTAATGATTTCCCTTATTTTCCTTTATTATTATTTTTTAAAATGTACCCTAACTACTGTTAGCGACTAACCACGAAATATTATTATTTTCCGTATATTAGCTTTAGTTATGTAATGTAATTCTAATCACATTTACATAATAAAAGCTATTCTTATTCATTCATCAATATAGAAAGTATAAAGAAATATGAGAAGATACAGTCGATTGTTTAAAAGCTAGATAGATATTATAATTTATATTGAAGGCAAGCACATATTAACGAATTAAACAGTAACAATAAAGAGAAAACTCAAATGAAGAGGTTTTACATAGCCGAAAACAGGAAATATAAATAATATTTAATAGAGTTAAATTAAAAGAAATAATAATGAAATCATCACATTAAAAATGAAACTAGTAGTCACGGAAATAATATTAAGATAACGGTGACTAGAATGTGACAGTTATCAAAAAGCAATCTGTTCCAGAAGACCGCTACTGATGACAAAGATATCCTCAGGCAGTGTGTTGAATCATAATCTGCATTACAGATCACAAAAGCAGTATTTTTTTTCTTTACTTCAGTATTACATTGCTATTCGAATTACCTAAACATTAATTTATACATATATAATATTATTTTTTAAAATATAATTTCTCTATTATATTTTTGTTTTTATTTCAGGACATGCTAGCTACCCTTGCAATACAAATACTGCTTTCGGGGGTTGCGCTCGGGGATGTGAGTGAGAAACTCCGCCTAGGATTGCTGCCGTCGAGCTCTAACTACCCAGGGTTACTAACACCTTTAGAAAGTGCAGCAGCAACACCTGTACAAAAAACACTGCACTCAAACAGAAGGCACGACGAGGACAATCTAGAACGACTCTGTAACGACCCATTCCACAGCTTCCTCTGCAAACCAGTTACAGTCCGCAGAAGAAGGATCAATGGTAGATTGCGTCCTGGCGCCGTTATTCCATCAGGTGCTTTCATCCAACCGGGAATAGTACCGGAAGCCTCCAATGTACAAGAGTCTTCCCAACTACTTGAATCTAATTCAGATCTCGTAAGACAAGGAAAGAGCTACCTGCCTCCTATTGAAGCCGAAGCTCCCAAAAAACTGATTGAACCACAATACCTTCCTCCAGGTTCTTTTAAGACATCTGAACTTTCTAATGTTGAAAGAACACAAGAAAGCAAAATTTCTTATGCCACATCACCAAAGAACAGAAACGGATTGCTGCCGGACGAAACTGAGAAGACACCGAAAAAGGTAGATCAGCCACAAAATTATGGGCAAAAGCCTCGGATAGAACCTGATAACAGAGCAAAAAATTCAAAACAGATACAACTGAACAAACTTCCAAGAAATTATTTACCAATTGATGAATCAGTGTCTCCTGACAGTTCAAACCTTTCTCCAAGTATACAGAATTTACCACTACAGGGATTAGCTGCTCAAAACCGAGAACGTAAAGATGAAAGTCATTCACTGGAGAGGCTTTGTAACGATCCATTTCACAGCTTCTTATGTAAACCTGGTAAAAGGAGAAAGAGGATTGATGGCCGGCTCCGTCCGGAAGCTAAGATCCCCCCGAGCGCCTTGATCGCTTCCAGTTCTATCGTCAGGGAATCAAGAGTGCTTCCTTCACAACCTAGATCTGTAAGGCAACCATCGAATACCAGAGGTGCTCGTGACAATTATCTACCACCCAATCAGGATAAACCACAATCGACATACCAAAATCAACAGACGTACATTCCGCCTCAAGATACATTCGGATACAATTATCCCAAACCCTCTAATAATGGAACGATAGCAGTTAACAATGGCTACAGTTACGAAAAACCTTCCAATACCTTACCTGATATAACAACAGTAAGTCCTTCACAGATAAGTAATACATTGGCAACTTCGCCTCAGGCAGACATTTCGCAAGATATCGTCCCTCCGTCCTCCGGGTATCAATATGTGCCACCACCAAATGGATTGACGGTAACAACAATCCCGCCTCTGACAACCCAAACACTACTACCAAATGCGGATGGAACAAGCATCCAAGAGACAGTGAACAGTGGAGGAGAAAACGGTTACTATTATCCTAAACCATCCTCTGCGGCATCAACAACAGTAGTTCAAACAAGTCCATACTCCACGGCCCCGCCTCAAGAGAGTACCGACATACCAACTGGAACGGTCGGGGGCTACAATTATCCTAAGCCATCTAATCCATTGACCTTACCATCAACCACATTCCTGACAACAACGCCAAGAGCAGGAGAAACTACAACTAAAACTCCTAGTTACCAATCATCGGAAACTCAAACTACTGCCGGGGGTTACACATATCCCAAACCATCAAATAACAAACAAAAATCTGGTTATAATTATGAAAAACCTTCTGTGGAATTTACACTGCCAGCGGCCGCAACGAATCCCGCAACTAATACAATTATAACTCAAACAACACCTCCACCAGTTAGCATTACAACAGAATCACCAGGGACAACATTCGGTTATCAATATCCAAAACCATCAAACACGCAGGAGAACATAGTTTCTCCTAATCAAACTGGCTACGCATATCCTAAACCATCGATTAGTTTAACTTACCCAACAACGCAAAGGCCAGAAACCACAAAAGCTACCTCCTCTCGACCCACGATAGTCACGACAACACGTCCTGCCCTAAGCATTACTACTGATGAAAACCCAACGACCGGGTATCAGTACCCCAAACCAACAATAAATCAAGATATTGCAGTACCCTCAAGTCAGTCGGGTTACAATTATCCAAAACCTTCAGTAGGCTTCACCTATCCTTCAGCAAAGCAGCCAGAAACCGCTGACGCAACACAAACGGTGATGACAACAACAATAAAACCAGAATTAGAAACATCCAGTATTCAAAATATTCCAGCGGCTAGTCAAACTGGATACGTATATGAGAAACCTTCAAATAGCCTCACGTTACCAACTAAAAAACCATCAACTTATATAACGCAATCTTCAGAAGCAACAAATATCAATCAAGATATTGTACCCCCAACTCAGGAAGGATATGTGTACGAAAAACCGACATACTCAACCACTGTAAAACCAGCATCAACCCAAACAGTTCCTGCATACATTACCACAATAAGTAATTTGCAAACAACTATGCAAACAACAGATAGTTACCAATACCCAAAGCCTTCAAAAAACCCCTTTCAGGATGGTTATCAGTATCCTAAACCGGCCCAACCATTCCCACCACAAAGTGTCAAACCCTCGACGCTTGAAACGACACAAACATTTATAACTAACCCAACAACACAGCAATCAACAACAGAAGGTTACCAGTATCCTAAGCCGTCCAATGAACAAATGGTTGAATCACCCAGTCAAAATGGTTACGTTTATGAAAAACCTGAAATCAGTTTCACTTTACCGAATTCGGGATCAGAAACTTCAGTGGCACAGACCATTCAAACCACAACTTCGGCCGCGGCTACTTCATTGATAACAACTAAACTAACGACGGGATATGAATACCCAAATCCTTCAAACATTCAAAATGATGTACTCACTCCTCCCAAGCAGTCAGGTTACACCTATCCTAAGCCGTCTTCTTCTTTCACATACCCCAGTACAACGGTTCCAAGTTATCCTACAGTCGAAATAACAACTAATGTACCTACTACAACAAAGCCAACAACATTGCAGTCACAATCTACTGAAAACGTTCAAAAAGAACAAACTGGATACAACTATGAAAAACCACCACAACCATTCACATATCCTCGTCCAACATTCAGTACGACCTCTTACACCCGGCCGTTGAACAGCTTCCAGTATCCGAAACCGAATTTCCCACAGGCCCAGGGTTCAGCGACTCAAAATGGCTACACGTACCAGAGGCCTGTGGCCCCAACACCGTTAACGGCTGATCAAGGTTACCATTACGGGAAGCCAAGCAACCCTCTTTCGCTTCCTCCAAGGCAGCGTTCAGCAAGGAATTATCGGAGAACTCAGCAGTATCCAACGAGGAGGGACTTCGGTAGTTTTATATTTTGAAAATTGTATTTAATATAAATTATTGTAAATACTAATTTTATTTCCTAGCATAGTTATTTTGATTACTTTTATAATAAAATAATTAATAAAATTGTTTTGCTCATTTTTCCTTTACCTTTACAATATAATATGAAGGGTGTAAATTTTCTTTAATTTAATAAATACCTCAATATAACCAATGTCCAAGAGACAGATTGTTGTAAAATTCAATAAATAAAAATCAATGAATATTTGATCCAATATGTATTCATACATTTTTTTTTATCATTCATCTCGAATCAAATTATTGACAATTTTTTATTGGAATTAAGTTTTTACTGAAAAAAAAAATCAGAAAACTGAATGTAGTGAACCAATCTTGGAAAATCAATTTTTTTAATGAATCCGTGAATGAATTTACTTCTAGTTAATTAAAAATAACATTAAATTAGGCTATAAATGTTTTGTAAAACAAATATCCAAGAAATATGATATAATACCATATGATTATGATTATAGATTATGATTATACTATAGTATGTTATATTGCTACAATTAATATTTATGAAAGGAAAAACCTCAGCAGCTCCAAAGAGAAAATTTGATTTTTGAAACCACGTCAATGAATTCGAAAATTTTAATAACAGGCACATTAAATAAATTTTTTCTTTTATTTTTTCGATATTAAATAAATTTTAATATCGAAAATAATGCACAGTTCCGTTTAAGCGATAGTGATAAATATATAGGATGTAGCAGTTTACTTAAAATACTATAAAAATAACACCTAAAATATTTATTTTTAAGGGTCATATGTGACTGTGGATAGTTTTAATTCAAATTGAATATAAAAAATATCCTAGGATGGTGATGAGAAATACGATAATAAAAAAAATCGTATCTAATTAATTATAATAGTTTTATATATATATATATATATATATATATATATATATATATATATATATATATATATATATATATATATATATATAAATATATAATATATTTATATATATATATATATATATATATATATTATAAATTTACTGCTATAGAAAGAAAATATATTGAGTACAGTGACCTGAAGAAAAAAGCTTCCAATCTAAACAAAGATACCTACCTGATTCGTCAATAACTTTAGAAATGTCAGGGCTCTGTTTGCTGGGGTCAGATCATGATGATTGATTAACTTTAGGGTCAAATGTCATAACGGGTCATCGGAATATATTATTCAGCTCATCTTACGTTAAGATAGTTGCGTAAAGTGTCAGTAAGAATGAAGAATGATTGTTTGCCATCGTAGGTTTTCCATATGCGTGTCATATTACAATTTATGTAATTTAAACATAAATGGGGTTGTTTCAGAGCTACGAACATACTTGTAGATCTTTACTCACAGAGAAATGTCCAACAAAAAAAAAATAGTTAATTCAATTATATGGGGTAAGAAAAGCTGAGGAAGGATTAATAATACTATTTCGAAACAAAAAATGAATACACATTTTTTGCTCATAATAAAAAACTAAAATAAAAATAATACATTTAAAAGTTATATCTGCAATATTTTAGCTGGTTCATTTATTCACTTTCCTCCATTTCTTGAGAAGACTAAATACGAAATGCAATAGATAAATTCAGAAAAAAAAAAATGTTGAACTAATTTCTATATTACCAACAATCATTCCAAAGAAGTTTTTAATGCACTGAAAAATAAACAAAAGACAATCAGTAAATATAAACAACCATAATAGAAAGCTGCGATAAGCTCCTAACATTACCATTCATTACTACATCTCATTAATTACTAACGTGCGAGTTGCGGAATTCATTCATAATTGCTTTAGTTAGCGCATTAGTAGTTAATGGCGGGCAATTGCCTATCTAATAGTAGGAGAGATTAGATAATCTACATTGCCTTCAAAGAGAGTTAGCTGGTTCAATTTGGGCATTAATAATGTCGTGAAAGCAGAACTAGAGCAATAAAACAGAGAGAAATGATTTGCTCAAATGTAATACTTTTAGATTTTAATGTAATGAAAAGAATCTCATGATTGATAAAAAATTCATAACAAGCACACCTGAAACACAGCATACCTCTCTTGCTGTAAAAATAAATTAAATTAGGGAGATAAAACTAGAAGCGTTTGGCATTTGACATTTACATTTGAATTCCATCCCATTCAATATGTTTCAAATTTATATACATTGTAATTTTTATAAATTATATTGGTTTCTAATTAGACAGCCCTAAGGTCACTGACCTAAACAATGACAAAAATAAAAGTGATCGATATAAAATTGAAATAAGCCACATAGATGTTATAATAAATATAGGCAACCGACTTCAGATAAGCCCATGCTTCAGAGCTTTTCCAGCTACTCCAATGAGAGTAAAAGCCACTCCAAGAGTAAGGAGTCCTAGGATATAGGTATGATTTTTAGTTTTTAGTTAAAGAACATGGAAAAGGAAAACACCAAGAAGGTATTGCAATCGTACAGTAGAATAAGGCCAATTCAAATCAGTGCATAAATAAGAAACATGAGAACGCTAGATAATTCCAAAGATGAATATTATGAAGCAATTCATGACTCTCTTCGGTCTCATCTCCAGTCGGACAGCCCTCCACACAACAAGGAGCCGTAGTTGGAGTGGGAATAAAACAAGTGAGGTTACATAGAGCTTGGGAGTACAAGGAGATATAATGTATGATAGTCATAAAGGACGAAAGAGAGATTCGTACGTTTTTTATATCTTATTTTCAACTTGTCTTTTTTGTTTTCCTCTTAAGAGAATTATTCCAAGAACAATCAATGAACCTTAAATGCCTAGAAATCAGTACGCATTTCTATACATTAATACTTTGATTACTTAAACATGTGATATGGTATCTTTGGCAGTACAAGAAAACCTCTCAAACATACGTGCAACATCCTGATAATGTGCTCGTGGGAAGTTCGGCAAACGGGTCCTTATAATGAATCTTTGAAATCTGAGAGGATCATAAATTACAGGCCACATACTCCTTCTGCCTCATTATCCTCAAGTCTGTTTATAGTCACCGCAGGGTGAACCACGTGTGGATGACAGTAGGCGCAGGCAGAAGGTAGGAGGAATAGGGTCGGTTTAAGAATAGAGTCAACTTGGTCTCAACTAGTCCCCATGGAAATAAGGAAGATCCCTCGCTCATTTCCCCTTGGTTTCCTCTTACCTCATCCCGCCCCCCCCCCCTCTCTTTCCAATTTGTTTCTTTAATAATACTGTAACCTCCATTTCAATTTTCTTTTCGTTGATATCAGATTTAATTTAATGAATTAAATTTACAATATTTTTTTTTTTTTATTCATTGATATTTACAACTGTATTATAAAAAAAAAAAATACAACCAGTAAATGTGCACACAGCAATAATACAATCACATGAAAATGCTTGTTGAGATACTACCCATTGGTAGCACTCTAATAATATATTTACATAAGTAGGTCACGAGGCCATCTTCTTTTCAGACGCCTCGGAGGGTTATCAGGGCTCTAGGAAGAAGCAAGGTTTGAAAAGAGAGGGTTCGGATGGTTCTGGAGTTTGTTATGGAAGGATAGGTATCTGGGTTGGGCCAAATCGAAAACAAATGGAACATTAAGGTATTTATGGATGATTTTTTTTGTGACAACAATAATTATAAATTTCTTATTTAATCCGAAACCTGACCTTATATAATAACAATATAATATCATGTCACATGGACAATGGTTATAGTGAGTTTAGACTATATTAAGACTAAATATACAAAAAATATAAAATAACCTAAAGATAAGTTTGTTTTTTTCTTTAAAACACACATACCTATATACACTAAAATTAAAAGATTGGGTTTTTTTCATGGAACTAGGTTTGAAATTTTAGACTTTGGAATATTGAATTGTATGTGATAAAAGATTGGTGTGTAATAAATAAAAAAACAATTTTAATTTTTGAGAAATTCAGATCTTTAATGTAGAAGATCCGGCCTCTTCGCTACCTGGGTTCGGGAAATCGATATATAGATATATATTTAATAACATAAAAATATATATAGACGTGGTTGATAAATGGTCTGATTATTGGGTTATCCTACTAGCAAATTCTAGAAAAAAACCTCAGAACAATATCGAGTATCTGCCGAATATAAAAATATCGAATTGTATTTTTTTTTTCTTCTTTTTTAAGTTCTTGCTTGAGTGTATCGCAGCTCATAATGGACTAAGAACTGCAAAAAACCCATCTACAAGGTGTTATGATAATTACAATTAACTGTGTTTTTAAAGTTGTACATAGTTAAATCATATTGAGACAAGTCAACAATTTAGGTACGAATAAAAACACTGGTTTCCATGATTTTCAATAAACTATAACTAATAAACTTGTTTTTACCAAACTAATTTTTGAACTTGTTATATATTACAGGGCACGAAAAAGTCATAGTATTTAAGTCAAGTATTTAGCAAAGTTATATAGAAAAACTTCACGCAATATAAGTTATTCTTATACCTTTATGACAAATATTGTTCATCGAAAAGAGAAAAAAGGTACAGCAAAACTTTTTGAACAACTAAATAAAATAAAAGTGTAAGTTTAACAACATTTTTTGCTCATGCTTGGGATTATAAAACTTGTTATCATAGGAAATGAGCGAGTTAACGTTTACAAATCGTGGTGTTTATTTTTATGATTTTGGTATGATGATGACAACAGTGAATTTTCAATTTTGTAATTTCTGAAATAACTTTTTTTTTTTTTTTTTGTATCATTGTATAAAATATATTTCTGAAATAACTTTTATTTACTAAAAACCTTTTATGGATAACTTTCAGAATAATTATTTGTAGTGAAGTTTTACTTAAAAAGTTAGATGGATAAAAGTTTTAAAATAACTTCATCAAAATGTTATCATAAAATAAGTAAGTAACCTATTTCCTATTAAATTTTAAAATTTTATATTTTTATATAACAGATTCAAAGGAAACACAAATATGCATATGCATTTTGTTTTATCTTAATTTAATTTTAGGCTAATTTACTCTACTTCTAATATCACAGGGTTTTTTAGTCTATATATGTCCTCTTGATAATAACTTTAATATAGGTAATAGATATTTAGAATTGATTTGGTTAATAACCTTATACAATACACTTACACTTTAAA